GGGGGTGACAGGACCAGGCTGGGGACAGAATGTCCTGGGGAAAATCCACTTATGTGGCCCCCGAGAGCCGATCTCGACTCAGTGGCAGGCAATCGTGGCTATCCACCTTTCTCCCGAGGTGGACAAAGAGTCCAGGGCTTGTGGGGCAGCAGAGAACAGAGACAGGGAAGGGTCCAGCCTGCATGTCAGCAAAGGCAGGGAGCGTTTGGGGAGAGCACCTTTGATATAAAGTAAATGAAGCCCAATTGTCTGCTGGTCAATGGGAAAGGGATCTTCAAACGTCCGGGGTCCTCAGGCTGCAGAAAGTCTTCCTTCACTGGGTGGCTGGGGGCTCCATGCAGTGTAGACACAACACAGAAAAACAATCCCCTAATCAAGAAACTACCAAAGGGAAACCCCCAACCCCACAAACACTGGCAGGGAAGGCCACCGTACAGAAGTGGGGAGCAAACCCCCACATTCCTCACACGGATGGGAAATCATGTCTGCCAGAAAACCACCCAGCTCAGAGGGCACCGAGGACACCACAGCCCAGCCCTGAGCTACACGGAGACTCTAGTGTGGGAGCCTCACACGGGTCTCAAAGGCCTCAGAAAGCACCCCGGTGGAAGGGGCCTGCCTGCAAGCGAAGCTCCATCAAAGACCAACGGTCTTCCTGCACAAACGCCTGCGGCAACAGGGCCTGCCCACCAGTGTCAGATACAAACCTCCAATAAACTGCACAACTGGATGGAAAATAGCTCAACAAAGTGGCTGAAAAATGAAACGGCTAAGGATCATGGATGCTCACCTCAGACTAAACAAATCCAACACACCACAGATTGGAACAAACAACGACCTTAGAACACACAGGCTACATCTCCAAGACAAGCCGATGAAAAGAAAACTCCAGCTAAACCCCAAGCAAAGAGAGAACTGAACCCAAAAGGGGGTTGGGTCAACACGTCCAGACACTCCCTGTCTACGGCAGAGCACGGTGTCCCCCAGAAAGGCCTCCCAGCTGGCGATGATGCCAGTCCCTTGGCATTCCTTGCAGCCTTAGAGGCAGCCTTTAAAACCACCAGGCCTGGCCCAGAGGCCCAGGAAAAGACCGGGCAGGCGAGCAGAGCTCAGACCAGAAGCAGAGCCCACTCGGAGCAGAGGATGGGGCAGCCCTCAAAAGCCTCAAGGAGGAGCAAGCCACCCCCATCCCCCCAGCAAACCAAGGCCGAACCGTGGTCAATGTGAAGAGAACACAATACCTACAGAGGGCCAAAGAGCAACTGGGGGACAAAGAGACCCTCATCCAAGTAAATAGCAACCCCGTACAGAAACTGGACAGCCTGATCCAGAGAACCCTCCAAAGCCTCAGCCAAGAAGAGGAACAGCGACAGATGAAAAGCAGAGGCCTCGTCTTCCCACCGTCAACCGTCCCATTTGGCACATTCAGCAAAAGAGACTCCCGGCTCTTTAGATTAAGCAAGAGGGCAGCTTCATTGAAAAACCCATCTAAACGCGACAAAAGCAAAGGCAGTTCTGGGATGTCTCCCTTTTCCTCACCGGCCCATCCATAGTTCATCAACTGAGTTCAGTGCTTTTGCTTTGGGAAACTCCATCTGTTTTGGTCAAAACATTCCTCACCACTCGGCCTTGCTAGATAATGTCTCCCCTGCAACAGAGAGACGGGGGTCCCCTTGCATTCCACAGCCTCCCTCCAGCCTTAGGAATTGCCCACCCTCTTCCCGTCACTGTTCGACAAAGCTGCCAGCAGCGAAAGCAGGTACAGGCAACTACGGAGTCGAGCCAGGTTTCGCACCCACTTTTATGGATGCCCCCAAAACCCAAACCTGACATATGTTTTCATCCAATTGTACGGATGCCAGCCACCCCAATGCACAACACAGCCAAAGAATTGAGCAAAACCTTGGACACCTCTGTCCACAACGCATCCAGAAAACAAAAGACTGAATAAGGGAAGAAGCTGAGATGACGGTTTCGTTTGATGTCACGGCCCTCTTTGCCTCCATAGAACCAGGGTGCTACACACCACACCTGACCTCATTCAGCATCCTGAGGTCGAAATGCCCGGCACGATAGACTGATCAACCTCTGCTTTCAGATTGATGGACACATATGTGCCCACAAGTCAGAGGGACATCCGCCCTCAGTGCCTAGAAACCAGGGCTCCCCCATCCATGCAAACAAAAACAGGCAGGTGGGCGGTTATGTAGGTCGGAATGCAGATGGCACCTTCATCCTCATGAAAAAGGACAACTGAAGGAGACACATGGAGCAATCAAGAGCATCTTCACGGGAGGAATATTCATGAGGAAATAAGGAAACAACAACACACAACCCTTCCTGGATGTCCTCATCAGCAGAGGCAACAAATTAGAAAGGCAGGCCTGTTGAAAAACTACCCACACTAACCAAGGATTCCATCACTCAACCTCCCACAAGAGGAACTGTGTGAGGACATTACTCAGATCAGCATAAACGCACTGCAGCAGCAACCCACAACACCAGCAAAGGGAAATAAGACTGCCTGCACACGTTCCAGGAAAATGGAAACCCACTGTCAGGTCCCCCCAAACCTCCGTGTTTTTCCTTGCATGTATATTCTACTTTGGGGCCTGCCATTCTGTTGGGGGAGGGGGAGCTTGGGATGACTTCCGTTTTCTACTTTCACTCTCCTGCCTCTATCCTGGAGAAAGGAATGTGGCTCCCTTATTAGTGTCCAACGAAAAGTCTTCATCAGGGTTCAGTCCAAGCCGGGAATAAACAACATGGCGACTGCTTTAGAAGGAAGGTTGCAGTTTATTGAAGAGGAGAGCCAGACAGGAAGATGGCTCTGGAAGAAAAGAAAGAGAGAGCACATGTAGGGAGTGGGTTTTTATACCCTCTGGAGCCTTTTGTTTGGAGTTGTTCCTGTGGCAGGAACTTTGACCTGAGTCTGAGTGTGCCTATCTGATAATCTGATGGTGGTGGGTTAATCCTATTATGTCCCAAGGGTCATATCCTGCTTTCCTGGGGCTGGGGCTGATGGCTCTTAGATTTTTGGTGTTGATTCTAGGGATCTTTCTTCCTAATCCCAGGTTCCTGACTCTAGTGTTTCTGACAAAATTATCACATCTGCATTTCTGCAGACCTGGTTTCTGTTTGGGACAGAGAGACGTGGGGGTGGGGTTGGTTTCTCCTTTTAAACCATTCAGGGAGATATATTCTGCCTTTTCAATATTTCCAAAAATATTCCTTTCTCTGGGGGAGACAGAGAAAGGAAAGCCGGAGAAGACCTTGAGATGCGCGCCAACTGTGCCGGTTACCCACACATCATACCACCTGCGGATTGGCTGAATCTCAAACGGACATTATGACTCTGGTGGGAGGAGGAATATTGCTTGCTGAACTATACCGTTTGCGCGGGATTTTCCCCAGATCTCGCCTTGACTTCCCGACCGTCACTGACCCCTAATAAAAGAATCCTTTTGAGACGACGCCTGTTTCAAGAGTTCTGCTTTCTTGGGTGGTTAGTTGAAGTGGGTCCTTACACCCACACAACTTTATCAGAAGGGGCCTCACCACTCAACGTGCTACAGCAGGGGTCCTCAACCTTGGCCACTTTAAGACTTGTGGACTTCAACTCCCAGAATTCCTCAGCCAGCTTTGCTGGCTGAGGAATTCTGGGAGTTGAAGTCCACAAGTCTTAAAGTGGCCAAGGTTGAGGACCCCTGTGCTACAGCACAGCCAACACAAGCTACAAAATGTAACACCGCTACTACGTGAAAAGCATCTCAGACTAGCAGAGCCCATCCATGAACACCAAGCAGCAGTCAGAAGACAACGGAAATCCCTTAATCTCACAACGGCTGAACGGACTCAGCCATAGTTCCAGCTGGGAAACTGGGAGCATCCTTGACCAAGCCAAGCCCAAGACCTTCGGGGGGGGGCGGATTCCCGGAAGCTCGGCCTTCAGATAAATCGGTCCTTAAGGCCCACAAGCAGGTAAACGTCCATACCGTTCAAAGGAGAAAATAAAAAGACTCCGAAAGGAACAAGAAACCCGGAATGCGTCCCCCTCGGCCACCGAGCGCCAGGGAAGCCTGGATCGCTACCAGACTAACCACAGTATCCAGAGAGGAAGCCCCCAGTGCCACCCACCCCGTCGGGCCGAGCTGCTGCACGCGGGCAGGGAGCAGACCCCGCTCGCACGAGCAACGCTATCGGCCGGTCTCCCCGGGACCCCCGCAGGGGAGGAACTGTCCGCGTCTGGATCGCTTGCGAGGAATCCTGTCGAATGAGACAGCCGCCGGGCAAAGGGGGCGCCGCCATGTAAGGTTGCCAGGTCTGCTTCCCAAAAATAGCGGACAAGTGGGGGGGGGGGGGTAAGTAGTAAAAAAAGTACAGCTTTAGATTACGTACCATTTCATCATAAAGCTTTTGAATAAAAAAAATGTCCACTATTTTGTGAAAAAAAATAGTGAACATAATGTGAAAAAAGTGGACTGTCCACTCAAATAGTGGACACCTGGCAACCCTACCATGGGACCCGGGGACCGGGGACCGGGGTGCGCAGTCCCCCGGATAGGCAAGGGCCCTCCTGGACGGCAGGCTCGGGGGGGGGGAGGCGGGATGCTTCTGGGTTCCCGCCTGCCTGCCTCCCGCCCGGCAAGATCGCGGCCAGCCCGGGGCGGCTCGGACTTCTTCTTTCCCCACTCGGGGCCGAGGCGGCCCTCCCCGGTTCCCGCCCCCCTGGCCCGGTCTGCGCTGCGGGAGGACTCCCCCCTCTCCCCTCCGCGCGCGGCGGAGGGCCGGAGCCCGCGAGCGCCCAGGGCCGGCCGGGCGGAGGCCATCTTGGGGGGCGGGGGCTCGCGGCGCTCCTCCCGGCTCCGGCCCTCGCTCCGCCCGCCGCAGCGGCTTCCCTGCTGGGCGCCCGGCCGGGCGGCAGTGGCGAGGCGAGGCCAGGCGGAGCGCGGCTGGCGGCGACCCGTTTTGCGTCCTGAGCAGCCGAACCGAGCCGGGCGATGCGGGCGGCGGCGGTGGCGGTCCCCCTGGTGCTGGCCGGGGCGCTGGCGCTGGCGCTGGCGGCGGGGCTGGCCGTGCCCCGGGAAGGGCGGCCGGCCCTGGAGAGGCTGCTGCCCGCGGCCGGAGCGCGCTTCGGCTGGACGAACCTCAGCTGCCCCGCCTGCCGGCTGATCTTCACAGCCCTGGACGCCAGCATTCAGGTGAGCCCCCGCTCCCTCCCCGCCCTCCCGGGCCCCGGCACCCGGCGGGGACAGCAGCTAGGCCCGCCGGCCCCTCCCGCGGGAGACCGGAACCGCGCTCCCGCTCCGGCAAAGCGGGCCCAGCTGGTCCCTTTCCCGCGACTCGCGGAGGCCGTTTCCCGGCTGGCTGAGGCTCCCGGGCGGCTTCCTGGTGGCAGCCGGGCCGCCCTCTCCTGCCCGCGGTGCCCTCCGGGGCTGGGGGTGGGGAAGGCCCCGGTGGCCCCTTGCAGGCGTTTCCCAGAAGGGGGGGGGGCCGCTGGCCGGGGGGAGGATCCGCGCACAGGAAGTTGGCAGAGCCCGATGGAGGCCCTCGGCTCCCCGAATGCCGGCCTCGCTGAGAAGGAGATGCCCCAGCCGGGGCCCCCTCTCTGGTCTCGGCCTGAGCTCGAGCCGGTTCACCCTCTGCAGCCCCCGGATTTCCCCCCTGAACTCCAGCAGCCTTGCCCCGCTGCCTCTTCTGCCCCAGACGCAGCAGCCCCACTTCTGAGAGCCGGGGAAGCGGGGAGAGCCAGGGGGGACCCCTCTGACCAGCTGGGGAGATGCCTCCCCCCCTCAAGGCTTTAGAAGTGTCGGGATGCTGAAGAAAGACATGCAGTCCTTGGATACGAAGCCCCCTCCCCCCCCCGTTCCCAGGATGTCCAGCACAGCCTTTTCCGTCCCCCCCCCCATCTTCTGGAAGGCAAAAGACGGAGTCTTTCCGTCCTGTCCCCCCCCCCGTGAGAGTCGCCTCCTCCCCCTCCGCTGCCTGTGCCAGCTGTGCCAAGGGAGCCCTTTGTGGCAGCTGCCACCCAGCCTGGGCCTCCCCCTGTGGGGGTCTTGTGGGCCCCCCGACTTGCCTCCTCCTTCCCTGGAGTCAGCAAGAGCAGCTGCTTCCGGGGGGGGTGGGGGCTGCCCTTGGCACCACACCCCTCCGTTTGTTGACAGCCTAATTCCCAGCCTCCAGCGGGTCACGAGCTCTGCAGAAGCCAGCCAGGCACTGGGCAAGGGCAGAGGGAGGGGGGGGCACAGCCAGGAAGCCTCTGAGTCCTCATCAGCCCAATATGTGTGTGTGGGGGGGCAGAACCTGGAGGCCTTGGGATAGAGGAAGAGCCCCCCCCAGGAGCTGCCCTCCTCTTCTCCCAAAGAAGGACCTCACCCCCAAAGCCCCCTCCCCCCCCTCAGTTTCTCCTGGCTTCAGGGTTGGTGGTCCGACTCCCAGGCTGAGACTCTGGTGGGATAAGCTCAGTGGAGCTGGGGGTCTTCCAGGGGCTGACCCTCTACTTGGCACCCAGCCGGCTAGGCGGACAGAGGCCAGGCAGGGAAAGAGCCGGAGAGCCGAACTGGGCCCCGGGAAGCCTCACCTCAAGGGGTGCAGCTCCTTTGCCCCCCCCTCCCCGCCGGATCACTGCCTTTGGGGGTCTGGTGGGACCCTTGACAGGGGCAGACAGAAGTTCGAGAAAGGGGGTTCAGGACAGTGGAGACTCAGAGGGTCTGCTGGTGAAGGCACCTGGCTAGAGTGACGGACGTGGTGAATTCTAGTTCCACCTTAGTCATGAAAGCCGGCTGGGTGACTTTGGGCCAGTCACCGTCTCTTAGTCCCACACACCTTTCAGGGTGGTTGTGGTGGGGAAAACGAGGGGGGGGGTAGGTGTGCTGGAGATGCTCTCCACTTTGAGTTATTTGTAAAAACAATAAGGGTGGGATACAGATAAATAAATAATTGCCAACTCTTACAGGCAATCTTTTCACAGCCCCACATTGGGAGGGAGACCCAGCGAGGAGGGGGGAGGAATGGGGGAGGGGGCTGCTACAGCCCTCTCCTCTTGCAGGCCTTATCCAGCTGGTTCCCCCTCCCGTTGCTGCGGGGAGAGGAGACCCAGAGGAGACCCAGAGGACCTGCTGGGGTCCTCTCGGCTGCCCGGCTGCCCCTTGCGTACAGCCCCTTGTTGGGGCAGCAGCCTTGCCACAAAGCACCAGCCCAGTTGCACAGCACCGGCTGTGGACTCCGAGGCAAGTCGTGGCAGGCCAGGTGGCACCTTCCCTCCTCCCCAGCTGGCAGGCAGGCTTTGGGCCCCTCCCGAGCTGCCCTCCCACCCCTTCCAGCCGGCCCCTGGCAGCTCAGCTGGCTCCCCAGGGTCCACGCAGACGTCAGGGCCAGGGCTGAGTTTGGGGCTCGGTTGTCCAGGGGGGCTGGAGAACGGTGGCCCCTGTGGACGGCCTGCTCTTCTGCTGAGAGGGCCGAGAGGGGCTGGGGGCCACGGGGGAAGCCTGGGGCCTTGGGGCCAGCCCCTCGCCTCACTTCTGGCCTCTGTGGGGCAGGGCAGGTGGCTAGGTGCAGGGAAGAGCCAGCCGGCCTTTCTCACCACCCAAGGGGGCTGCTCCTGCGCTTATGGGTGGTTGAAGGAGACTGCAGGGGCAATGGGTCTCCCCACACCAGAGCCTGTCACACACACGCACCCCCCCCCCAGGGACTCCTGACAGGACTGTAGGAGGGGAGGGATGGCTTGGCTAAGGAGGCAGGCGGGGAGATTCTTCCAGCACCTCTTTTTTGCCGGGACATTTCAGGGGTGCTTCTCCAGCCCCTCCTCAGTGCTAATGTTGCCCCTCTGCTTCACAGCTGGAGACCAGCGTGGAGCACATCCAGCAGCTGGCTACCAAGGTCTGCCTGACACTGAGCCTGGCACCCCCCAACGTGTGTCAGGAGATCATCCGTCTCTTTGGGCAAGACGTGGTGACTGCCTGGGTCCGCTCCATCCTGCGCCCAGCTGAGATCTGCGGCCTGCTGGTGGGTGCCCAGTGCGGCCACTGGGACATCTACTCCAGCTGGAACATCACCCTGCCCAAGACGCCCAAGCCCCCCGTGCGCCCTCCAGTGCCCCCTCCGCCCAGCGCCCCCACGGCACGCCTGCTCTTCCTGACTGACCTGCACTGGGATCGGCAGTACACCCCGGGCAGCGACCCCAACTGCAAGGACCCGCTCTGCTGCCGGGGGGGGCAGCCGCGGGGGCCCGGGGCCGGCTACTGGGGCTCCTACAGCAAATGCGACCTGCCCCTCCACACCCTGGAGAACCTGCTGCAGCACTTGGCGTTGGCCGGGCCCTACGATGCCGCTTACTGGACGGGCGACATCCCGGCTCACAACGTCTGGCAGCAGACGCGCCAGGACCAGCTGCATGCCCTCACCACCATCACCAGCCTCGTCCAGAAGTACCTGGGGCCATTGCCCGTCTACCCGGCGGTGGGCAACCATGAGTCGGTGCCGGTGAACGCCTTCCCCCCGCCCTACATGCCTGGGAACCAGTCCTCCGCCTGGCTGTACGATGCCATGGCCGATGCCTGGCAGCAGTGGCTGCCCCCAGAAGCCCTGCAGACCCTGAGGTAGGAGCGAGGGTCTGGCGGGCGGGGGCACTGGGGAGGCAAGGGGGTGGGGGGAAGGGAAGGCTGCCTGAGGGACGTCAGGAGGCAGCCCCCGCAGAGGGTGGCCGCTGCCTTGCGATTTGTCCACCTGGGAGTCCAGGCTGGGCGGAGGTCCAGGCTGGGCACTCCCCCGCCTTCCCTGGGGACCAGATCCTCACTCCCCCCTTCCCCATTCTCCAGGCGGCCTTGACAGGGACCTGCCCTGGGCGTCATCAACACATCTCTCAATGATAACAATAAATAAAGTTCAACTCCGCCCCCCCCACTCCACTGGCCTCCTTCCTCTCCTCCTGGCAGCTCTGCCCCAGGTGTCTTCATTATACCCTTCCTTGCTTTTTTATAAATAATTCCGGGCCAGGGAGAGGCCCTTCAGCCTCTGGCAGCCTCCGGCCTCTGGGAGCTGGACCTTCGCCCCGCAGGACAGGCCTCCAGAAAGAGCAGCCCCTCGCGCTCCCCACGGGCTCGGGGCCAAGGGCTCCGGACAGCGGCGTGGCCTGCTTTTCCGTGGCTGTGGCTGCTGCCCGTAACCGGAGCTGTCTAGGAGGAAGGCCAGCCCGGAGGAGCCAAGCTCCAGGATTCTGGATGTGAGAATTGTAAGCCCCACCCAGAGTCGCTTGGCCCAGCTGGGTGGCTATAGAAATCAAACAAATTAATTAATCTTCATGGCAAGAAAGTTTTGCTTCCGCTGCAGTCCTGACCGGGACGGGTGCAACCTGATCTCCTGGTTCTTGCTCCTCTTGATCTTGTTGCCAAAGCAGCCGGCTGCCGCGGCAGTTGCCTTCCCCTGTGCTCAGCAAAACATCTGGGCTTTGCCAGGCATGAGAATCGGGGCTCCCGGATTCGCCAGGTAGAGCCTCACGGCTGCTGCTCCCTTTCTGCGGCCAGGCTCAGGAGAGGCTTTAAAACAGGCGTGTCCGACCTTGGCCACTTTTAAGACCCGTGGACTTCAACTCCCAGAATTCCTCAGCCAGCCGTGCCGGGAATATCTCTGCCTATTTTCCCCACGAGAGCAACAGCCCTGTAAGGCAGCTTGGACTGTTTTTGTGGCCATTCTGTTGGCGTGACTACAAACTTTTCTGCGTGCAAAGCCGACTTTGAAGGGTCTTTGGTCCTCTCTGAGCTGGACTGTGTTCCTGCAGCCGTTTCATTACCCAAACCTCAACCTTGGGGGCAGCTTTGTTTGGGGAGGGGGCCCGGATGGGGCTGGACTCTGCCATGTGCCCCTCCTAAAGCCTCTCCTGGGCCCCAGGGTGAAAACTGCTTGTGGGGAGGGAGAGGAGGCCGCTTCCTCTGCTTGGTTAAGAGCTTTTCGGCCTGGGCGTGGGTGGGTGGCAGAGCCCCGTGGCACCAGCCAGGCTGCCTCTGCCCAGGGCACAGTCTCCTCCCTCTGGAGCAGGGCTGGGCGATCATGGCAACTTCACCAACTGTGGACTTCAACTCCCAGAATTCTATGCTATGCTATGCTGGCTCGGGAATTCTGGGAGTTGAAGTCCACAGTTGGTGAAGTTGCCACAGGTGCCCATGGGGACTCCATCACTGGAGGTTTTGAAATCTGGTTGGTGGTGATGGAAGGAAGGAAAACCCCCTCCTCAGTGGCAATGGGGGAGGGGTGTTCCACAAGCCCTCCCATCCCTGAGACGTTCCTGCCTCCTCTCTGGCAGGCTGGGGGGCTTCTACACCCTCCCCATCTGGCGGGGCCTCCGCCTGGTTTCCCTCAACATGAACTTCTGCTCCGAGGCCAACTTCTGGCTCCTGATCAACTCCACCGACCCGGCCGGGCAGCTCCAGTGGCTGGTGGGCGTCCTGCAGAGGGCGGAGGAAAGTGGCGAGAAGGTGAGCCGGGGCGGGCAGGGGTGGCGCTGGGCAGGAAGCGGGTCAGGCCGGGCCAAGCCAGAGCATGAGGTGGCCTGCTCGGAAGCAGGGCAAAGGGCGAGCGGGGAGACCTGCCCGTTCAGACAAGCCCCGGTCCCCGGAGGGTGCCCGGTGCTGCTGCCCCCACTGACACCCCTCCTCCCCTGCAGGTCCACATCATCGGGCACATCCCGCCCTCCCACTGCCTGCGGAGCTGGGGCTGGAATTACTACCGCATCATCAACAGGTACGAGCGCCAGGGCCTGCTCTGCTCTGCCCAGCCTGGCACCCAGGAAGGGGCGTCCCCAGCAAGTGCTTGCGCCAGGCTGACCGCAGAGCCTCCCGCAAGCCGGCACCCCTTGCCCGTCCCGTCCTGGATGTGGGTCCTCCCTCCAAGGACAGCCGCCGACTGGGGAGGCACTGCGGGGGTGGGGGGGCTGCTGGAGGCCTCTCTGGCTCCTTTCTCCCCATCGCTCAGGTGCCTGCAGTCCCCCCCCATCACTAACTCCGCTTCAGCTGCCCCGGCTCAGTCCTGGGTCACAGTTGCTGCTGCTGCTCTGATTTGGTGGGGGAAGCAACCCCTCACATCCCCCAGGTTTCCTAGATGCCTCCTGAAGGGGGGCAGCAGTCAAGGGGGGGCTCCCGTTCCCAAAGCTAGTGAGAAAACACTTTGCTTCTGGGGAATTCTTTGGGTGGCTGGAACTTGAACCTTAGCAGGTGGTGAGGCAATGGCTGAGCCGCTCCCTCTGCGTGAGGAAAGGGTCCTTAATGCCGGCGGTGGTCTGATTTCTGCAGACCCCCTTCCTTGGGGGGTGTGCTCCATAACCCCCAGCAGGGCCTGCCTGTGGGCCTTCCCACTCCCCAGGCCCAGGCCGGCTCCTGCTGACTTCCTGAGCACACAAAAACATAGAACCCTAGGGCTGGAAGGACCCCTGGAGGCTATCTAGTCCAACTCCCTGCTCAAGGCAGAAGCCTTATATCATCCTTGGTCAAATGGTAGCTGCCTCTCTTGCCGTCACCTGGAAGTTAGGACCCCATTGTTGCTTTCTGGAGAGGCTTTAAATTCCGTAGTCCACTCTACAAATTTGGGGACTCCTGGCGCGTCTCCAGCTCCAGCTCTGCTTAGCCTTCCGAGGTTGGGCAAGGTCAGCTCCGTCCAGCCACCTTTCGCATTCCACCCTTTATAAGGCCGTATTGCCAGGGTGAAGGCCGTATTGCCACCCTTGATAAAGCCGTATTGCCGTATTGCCAGTCCTGGGCAGCGAGAGTGTTGCACATTTGCACACCTCTCCCCTGAAGATGGACGCCAAGGGAGGACTTGCCCTGGACCCCGCTGCATTCTTGAATGGGGAAGGACCTCCCCATCTGGGGGTCTCTGCTGACCTCCTGGGCGTCTCCCTCAGGGCCTGTGCCGAGACTTGGCTGCCTCCTTGCTAGTCTCGTAGTCCTGGTTCTCACGGAGGCCAAACTGTGGTGCTCGTGTTCCCGGGGGTGCCCCTTCTCTCCCCACCCCCATCTTCAGGGCAGCAGACGCAAAGCCAGATTCCTGCTCAGCCGGTTTTGGCTGTCCAGCCGGGACAAAGGTCTGGAGAACCCGTGCTCAGGCCTGTCTCTCTCTCTCCCTGCAGGTTTGAAGGCACCGTCGCTGGGCAGTTCTTTGGCCACACCCACTTGGACGGGTTTGAGCTTTTTTACGACGAGGAGACCATCTCCCGGCCGGTGGGCATTGCCTTCCTGGCTCCCAGCGTTACCACCTACATCAAACTCAACCCAGGTGAGGTGCTGACCTCCCTCCCTCCCTCCTGCCAGAGGGCCTGAACTGAGCCAGTAACCCCTCCTGCCTTCCTTCCAGGGTATCGGATCTACCACGTGGACGGGATCCGCTCTGGCAGCTCCTACATGGTCCTTGACCACGAGACGTTCATCTTGAACTTGACGCAGGCAAACCAGCCCGGTGCCGTGGCTCGGTGGCAGCGCCTCTACGGGGCCCGGGAGACTTACGGGTTTCCCGTGGCCTTCCCAGAGGACTGGAACCAACTCCTGGACCGCCTGCAGGCCGACGAGCGGCTCTTCCAGCATTTCTGGTACCTGAGGTTCAAAGGCCACCCGCCCACCGAGCCCTGTGGCGACGCCTGCAGGAAGGCCACGCTCTGTGCTCTCCGCACCGGCCGGGCGGCCGATCCCAAACTCTGCCAGACCCTTAAGATGCCCTTCTTAGAAATTCAGGCCTGGCGGCGGAAGCACACATTTTGCTAGCTGGGGCCCGAGATGAGTACCAAGGGGCGCAGGGGCCCTGTCCTCCAGCAGGCTCTGTGGGCGTGGGCACAACACGGCACCCCTTCTCTCGGGCACTCCACAGGACTCAAGTTCCAGACAAGCACCGCGGCCCTTCAGATCGTGCAGAAAGATGCAGAAAGGACCCAGCAGTGGTCCTAAGACCCTTAGGAGAGGGTGGGGTGCCCTGGCTGCCCTTGGCCTCTGCCCCTACAGCTCCCCTCTATTGCTCAGCAGCTCCTCCTCTTCCACCCCTGCTCCACCCCTTTTGTGTGGGCACGGAAAGCAGGCCTGCAAGACATGCCCACCCTGCTGCCCCCGTGTTTGAAGTGCCATCAGCAAAGGAGGAGCAGAGACCTGGACGGCCGTGGGCGCTGGGGGTTTTGTTGCTGGCTCTGGCGCCAGGCAAAACCTGGCAGGATCCGTTCTCAGACTCTTCTGCCTCCAGTACCGGCCCAACCTCTGCCAGCGTGGGATTCCTCTGCAGGGGAGGGGTGCCCCCCATCTCTTTTGTTCCTCCCTCCCCAGCAATAAACAGCTTCTGTGTCTCCTCCACTGGCAGAAGACGCCTCTTTCGCCCAGTCCCCACTGACCTGGGGTCAGCCCCTCGCCTTGATCCTCTGGGCTCTCCCATGTGTGACCAGCCGGCTGCCCCCAAGGCCAGGGGGCAGAGACACATGGGCACAACCAGGGAAGAGCACACAGCACCCGGGCAGGAGGGGGGAGAAAGTGGGGTTCAACCCCCTTCTGCCCTAATGGCAGCTCATGGGGAGAAGCCAAGCCCTGCCTTTCCTGCCCCATATCCTGGGCGGGGGGGGGGAGGGTGTCCTGTACTCATCAAACCATCAGTGCGCTCCCCGGCCCTTCCAGGCACCCATCATCCCCAGAACTGGCCCCCAGCTGCTTCTTAGGTGGGGAGACGGACATTGGCAGCTCCCTCCCCCATCACAGCACCACGCCAGAGATGGATGGGGGACGTTGGAACAGAGTTTATTTGTGGGTTAGTACAAGACAAGAGTTGTTGCAACAGCAGAGGCAGCAGCTCTCCCCCCACCCCCTCTGCTCCTGGGCAAATGGGGGGAGGGGGTTGTTGAGACCGTGACCCCTCCCCAGTATGTGGCCAGACACCGGTGAGGGCCTCTGCAGCAGCTCCAGCTAATTCCGGGGCCTACCATACCTGCAGGGGTGGGTGGGCAGAGGCCAGCGGGGGCAGGGACCAGGTTTGGCGGCCAGGGAAGAGGAGCCCACCCCTCCCTTCCCCCACTGGCATGAAAGTCACATGTCTGTGCAGATCCACGCATCCCTCATAAATAGACACCTTGCACTCATGCAGAATACACACGCACCGCGCACCGGGGCAGGCAAAGCGCTACGAGGCTGATGGCAAGAGGCCAGTGGCGCTGCTGGCCCGGAGGGTCAAGGTGGGCGGGCAGGTCCCCTCTCTCGTGCCTGGAGCTCACGGCGTCTGGGACCCCTGGCGTTTGGGTTGGAGGGTCCCCAGCAGGGCCTGGATGCCCTTCCTAACTGTGGAGCCCACACGGCGAGCCACGGAGTCGGCAGGAGGGGCCGGGAGACAGGAGCTGCTGGTGGATTGGGGCCGCGCATCCAAGCATTTCTGGTAGCGGAGCTGAAAAGGAGGGGCGAGGCAGTGACAGGGCATCGGTGCTGATACAGGCACCTGGGGCAGAGGGCCCTCCCAGCCATGCCCCGCGATCCGGGCTTCTACAGCAGGGCATGGGTGGGCTGCCGTTAGGCATTGGTGGGAAGGACTACTCAGTGGGGAGAGCAGGAATGGCCACTCACAGCTGCCAGCAGATTGTACAGAGCTGGCACAGTCAGGAGTCCCGCCGCCCTTTTGGCCGCGTGGCAGAGCCTCTGCCAACCAGCGGGTGGGGAAGAGGAGTGCCTCAAACTCACCATGCAAGCGGCCTGAACGGCTTCGCTCAGCCCCGCAGCATTGGGCTCGCACCAGATCATGTGGCAGCGGAAGTTGCCGGCGGCAGCAGCCATGATGAAGGCGAAGGAGCGGACGTCCTGCCCAATGCCCATGAAGGAGAGGAAGCGCACGCGGCACTCACACAGCACGGTGTCGGTCTGCAGGGAAGGCAGGCGTCAGGACAGACCCACCCACAGCGGAAGGGTGCCTGCTCTGGCCCCTCCCAGGGCTTCCCCGTGCCCAACTCCCGAGAGTTCATCCCCGGCTGCTCTCGCCAAACACGCCGGGCACTCTTACCTGCTGATGGGCGAGGGTGAGAGTGGCCGGTGCCACGCTGAATTGAGCAGGTGCCCACTGCTCCTTGCTGCCAGATGCCAGGGCTGCCTCGAGGGCGCTGTTGATGACCTCCATGCCTAGAGAAGCAAAGGCAGTGACGGCCTCACTGGGGCAGGCGAGGGGCCAAAGCTTGTGATTAAGCCCGCCCCGGTGGGGAGAGCAGCAAGGCAGGGCCCGTGGGGCCCCGACAGCAGCTAAGGCAGGACGATGGTTCCAGTTTCTGGGATCGGCTGGGGGTGAGGGAAAAGCAGAGTACCCCCACCCAGGCCGAAGGTGCCCTGGGCCCTTTGCTGGCACTGATCTGCCCCCGATTTGGGGGATGGGAGGGAGGATCCTCGCATGGGGTCTGCTGCACAGCCAACTCTGCTAACAGTGTAAGGTCCGTCAAGTTCCTGACCTGCACATGGTTTGTCCCAATCTCAAAGGGAGAATGGAAGACCTGGGAGATCTGATCTCCTGGCCTTGACTTCCCCCCCCCCCCCCAACAAGGAGTCGTGCAAGCAGAGGGCCCAGCCTTTGGGGAAGCTGACCTAAAGAGGTCAGAGGTCCTGACAAGGGATGCCATTCAGCAGAAAGAGGACCACTCGCAAAGGTGGTGGTGTCCAGGGATGGTGGGAGGAAGGGACATGCAACCAAGGGGTTGGGGAGCATCCAGACACGGGGAGGGGTCTGGGAAAGCCCACCCAGAGGAAGCTGAGGATGGTTTCCTTGGACACACTGCCGCAGAAAGGACAGTCCTTTAGAGCAGGGGTCTCCAACCCCTGGGCCATGGATCAGTACTGGTCCGTGGTCTGTTGGGAACCTGGCCACCAAAGTGGCGGGCAAGCAGGCAAAGCTAAATTGGCATACGTGAAACCATCCCCCCTGCCGCCCACCGCTGTGTCCGGCTGGGGACGGCTGCCTGGGAGGTCTCAGGAGGAGGCGGACGGGATGAAAAGATCACGGTTGTCCCTTCTTGTTTTCCACTGTGGGTCCCCTGGGACTGGTAGCCCCCCACCTTCCGCCGCCTCTCGGGGTCTCAGCAGAAGCCTCTGCCCCACCTCTGCCCATGCCTCGCTTACCCACAGGCTTGGCCACAGAAACGCTCCCCAAGTAGTAAACCTGGAACTTCTGGACCGATTCGCTTTTGGGTGCCGGAAACTCAACTGGAGAAAAGAAAGGGAGGGCCGAGAGCAGCGGCGACCTTGACTTACAGCTGGTTGCTTAGGAGAGGCTCCCCCCGAAAGCGACTTATGACCCCGTTTCAAAGTTCCAACGTCACACACACCCCCTGGTCACATGACCCCATTTTAAGACGGTTTTGCCAGAAACTGGCGCTTATTTCCATTTTCTGGAAAAACTGGGCACGGTGACCAATGGGTTCACCGAATGACCCCCTGCGGTCATTTTACAATTGCCACAAGAAGTGGCATAAAATCAGGTCACTTGCGTGATGACTGACTTTATGACTGTCACAACTTACAACCGTAATTGCCAAGCTCCCGATTCTGCCTGGCTGCCCTCCCACCAGCCCCCCCCCCAGGGTCGATGGAGGCCCCAAGTGACCCTCTGACGGCCCCCCTCCACACGGGGGCTTCCTGCACCCCTCCGGCAGCCCAGGGGAGGGGGGAAGCAGAACCGGGATTGGAGGCAAGGAGCCCCCTCCCAAGACCCCGACCCCCAGGCCCCCCTCTCCTTCCCATCTCCCAGCTACCTTGGAAGGGGATCTCCACCATCTTGGACGGATCCAGGGAGATCCCGTTGAGTGAGCTTTGCACGCTCCGCCGCTCTGTCACAATCTGGAGGAGAGGAGCAGATCCCCCCAAGGGCCATCAGGCTGGCTGCCACAATCCTGCACGTCCTGCCCCGTGGCATTAGAACTGGGGGGGGGAGGCGTGGGTCTGAGGACGGTGCCCGGCCCCAGCGGGAGGCCCTCTCTTGTGACCATCTTCCCAGCCCCGGAGGAGATGAGAGGGAGGGGCAAGGCCCAGCAAGGCAGGCAGCTGGAGACCCCCAAGGAAGAGGGGAGGCGGTGGGGAGGGGGCAGGTCCTGACCTTGGAGCAGATTTCATGGAGTCTGCTGGCAATATTCTTGGCGGGAGCTTCACACCGGAAGACGTGGCACTTCAGCATCTGAGCCAGCTGGTCTTGTGCCACGTACGCAAACTCCCTGCAGGCGAGGAGGCACAGGGTGGGAAACCAAGGCCCAGGATGCCAGGGCAGAGTTGGGCCCGGCAAAGCCCCTCCAGTGGGCAGGTGGGGTGGCTGCCAAGCAGGCGCTGGGGGCGGCCATTCTGATGCCCCTCCCAGCAGGGGAAGCGCTTCCTGAATAGGGGGGGCTGGCTGGCGGGGGGGCTGGTGCAGGGCTCACCTTTCGCTGGATCCCGAGGCAAAGCAAAGGAAGAGATGGGCGGGCACCAGAGGGGGGGCAGAAAGGCCTCACTCCTTCCACTCCCCAGCCACTGGTCCGATCAGACAGCCCCCCTTCTCAAATAGAGGGCACAGACCCTCCTGCAGGCTGCCAGAAGCCCCCAAGAAGGCACCCATCGGTCGCTCGGGCCTCCCTCTGGCCCGGGGGGGAGGGGGCAGGCACCACCAAGGCCCCCGGCAGCCCCAGGGCCTGGATTGGCCCATCAGAAGAAGGTCCAGCAACCAGAGCTGCTGCAAGACCCTTTGGGAAGACCTGCCCCCCACCCCCATCGAGTAGGACGTGAGTCCGCGGGGGGAAGCTCTACCCCACCCAAACGTCGAGGGGGGGGAACTCTCCCGCAGAGGTGGGCAAAAGTCCAGGCTGGTTTGGAGTGCAGATCTGCACAGCCCCCCGAGGCTGGGAGGAGACCCCGGGCTCTCTGCTGGGCCAGCTTCAGAGGCCCTGGAGCACCATCAGCGCATGGATGGTGCCAGGCCCTGGGACGACAGCCAGCTGGTGTGGCCACGGCTGCCCCGGACGCCCCACGGGGGGGGGGGGGGACATTTCTCCTGTGTGCCAAGAGACGTAAGTGTGCAAAGGCCCCACTTTTCCCCCGGGGGGCTCAGCCGCCACCGGCCCCTGTGGAGCAGCCACCGCCTGGAGGAGGGCCAGCCGGGCAGAGTCTCTGGCCTGGGCAAAGGACCCTCCAGGGAAGCCCACCCACCCACCCACCCAGCAGCCCCCAGGCGCCACGGCCACCTCCCTTCCGCTGTGGGTGGGCCGCCTACCTTCCGCTGTCCCGCCCGACGCCCCAGACCCGGATGGCCGCGATGGGCAGGCAGTGCAGCTCCGTCCGCTTCTGCGAGTCCAGCAGCTTCAGCAGCTCCTTCTCCAGGACCAGCAGCATGGATTTACCCTGCCGGGGAGGGGGGACGGCTGCCACGGGCCCTTTCTCAGGCCCCCCAGGGGCCCTCAACTGGCCCAGAGTCCCCAGGAGCCTTTCCCCCCCCCCCACACACACACACTGTCTGGCTGCCCACCCCACCAGCTGCTTACCTCCACCAGGGCCGGCTCCTGCCCAGCCAGCTGCCGGATGCAGTTGTTGACCGCCACTCCGCTCCTGCCCAGCGCCAGCTCCTCCTCGGCCACCGCCACCCAGCCCAGCGAGTGGACGGAGAAGCACTGCGGGGAGCAGCGGAGACAGGCGTGTCTGGGGATGTGGGGCTTCCCCAAAGAGAAAGTCTGCCCCCGGGTGAAAGTGGCAGCGGAGGGACCCTGGGGGCAGCCCCAGGCAATGCCTTGGAGGGGGCACCGGGGGTCCCTCCCCGGGGCCTCCCTCCCCTCAGGGCCTTCCGCCAGGCAGCTGGGCCATTCACGGAAGCTGGAGGATCCTGCCTGTTGTTGGGGGGGGACTGAGGGGGGGATTCCTCCTGCAAGGGGGGGGTCAGAAGCCAGCCCGCCAGTGGCCCAAGGGAGCCTGCCATCCTCGTGGCATCGGGCAGTTTTACCTTCGATCCCGGGGAAAGGGCCAGCAACCCGGCTGCGTCCTCCCCTCCTGCTTCCAGGGAAGACCTGGAAGACAAACAGCCCAGGGTGGGGTCAGCTGGGTCCCCCCCCCAGCCTCTTCAGAATGCACCCGCAGCACCCAGAGACACGCCCCCTCAGGCTCCCTGAAGGAAGGCCAGACCCCCACATGTTGCGGCTTTCCGGACACCCTGATGCCCCCTTGGAGATCTGGAGGCAGGATGGCTCTCTGCCACTCACCGCCCCCCCACGGCCCCCAGCAAAGGACCCTCCCTGGCCCACCAGCCTGGCAGTGCCCCTAACCCTTCCTCACTCCCTTTGGCCCTCCCTCCGAGGCTGCCATGATTTGCCAGGAGGGTGCCAGGCAGTTTCTGGGCATCGATGCAGGGATATTGGCGGGACCCCCAAGGGAGAGTCCCTTCCAGGACGAGACACCCCCCCCCCCCACACACACACAGGCACTCACCGGATGCCGGAGGATCCCAAGGCTGAGCTGGGCTGGCCCTCCTCTGACTGAGGCTCTGGGGTCGCCCCCTCGGGTGGAATCTCCTGGGGGAGGGAAGCCATGAGGAGCAGTCAAGCCCCCCCTCCTGCCCCTCCCCCATCCCCGGCCCAGGCAGCCGCTCACCTTCCAGAAGTCAGGATTGGGGGTTGCGTCCGTTTGCCCAAAGTCCATCCAGGTGAGCTGCAGGGAAGGAGGGGGATGAACAGAGAGCCCCTCACCCACGGACGCCCCCTCCCCACTTTCTCCATGTGCCCATCCTGACACTCCCATCTCCCTGGCTCTGCTGGGACCGAGCACCCCTTCCCCAGTGGCCCCTGCTGGGCAGCCCAGCTCAGAGCAAGCTGGCCCCCCACATCTGTCCCGGTGGAGGAGTGGCCCCCCCTCACACACACACCCCAGGCTTGCAAGAAAGTCCTGCTGGCAGCCCCCGCCTCCTGCCCTGCTTTGCCCCGAGGGCTTTGGAGCAGGAGGCATAAAAAGCCCTGCCAATTTATTTTATATTTTATTTTATTATTTCATTCATTCATATTTATCCTGCCTTACTATGAATATGAGTTATTATAAAGAGATGACAAATAATTCAACACAGCAGACATACCTAACGCCCCTTCCTCCTCCTGTTTTCCCCACAACCACCCCCCTGCAAGTGGGCTGGGCTGAGAGAAGGGGGCGGGTCACCATCCACACGGCTGGCTTTCGTGCCTAAGGCAGGACTAGAACTCACCACCTCCTGGTTTCTAGCCGGGTGTCTTAATCGCTAGACCAGCCTGGCTATAGGAACTGCAGCGAGAGGGGAAGGGTGGGGGGGGGAAGACCCCTCCAGCAGCGGCACCTGAGGGCCTCCCCTCGTCCGCAGGGCAACTGGCCGGCGCTCCCTAGTCTGGAAAGGACCCATCTTCCCCTGCCCGGCAGAGCTGTGTGGGCAGAGGGGGAGTGGCTGCCACAGGAGGAGGCGACCCCTCCCGTGCCCGGCCCAGGCCTCCCCAGGAGCAGTGGGCGAGCACAGGGGCTGCACCCTCCCCTCCCCCCCCCCGTGAATGGGGAGGGCATCTCCCACCTTCAAGGCTGACAGGACCCACAGCCACTCGGCAGAGCCTTCCCAGGCAGACCCTCCCCCTGATGGCTGACCACGAAGGGAGGGGCCTTGCTTGGCAGGGGGGGGGCAGGACGCAGCTGGAGGCCCTGACAGGCACACCCACCCCACCCCGCTGGGGCAAAGCTTCCCATGAGGCTCTCCCCACAGAGGGGTCAGCAAATGCTCTCCTTGGAACGAGGCCACCGGAATGGAAATACCGGCTCCCTTGGCCTGGCTGGGTTCACACAACGCCCCCACCGCAGCTGCCAGGCAAAGCCCCCCCCCAAGGAAGGAGCCCTCATGGGTAGCCCTGCTTGATGGAGGCCCCCCCTCTGCCCAGCTCCTCTGCCCAGCTGCTTTAGGGGTTGCCCCCTTTCTATCCGGCATCTGGCATCCAGGCCTGGGCCTGCCCTCTGGAGCACCAGTCCTGGGGTGGCCTTTCAGCTACTGGAGGGTGCTGCTATGACCCAGTCACCAGTTCGGTCTAGCTCAGGGGTGGGCCACCTGGGCTCTTTCATGACTCATGGACTTCAACTCCCAGAATTCCTGAGCCAGCCATGCTGAGGGGAAAGGGAGAGGTTTCCAAGCTGAGCCGTGCTGGCTCAGGAATTCTGGGAGTTGAAGTCCACGAGTCATAAAAGAGCCAAGGTAGCCTACCCCTGGTCTAGTGGTTAAGGTGCCAGGCTAGAAATCAGGAGACTGGGAGTTCTAGTCCCGCCTTAGCCATGAAAGCCAGCCAGCTGGGTAACTTTGGGCCGGTCTCTCCCAATGCACCTCACAAGGTGGTTGTTGTTGTTGTGGGGAAATAAGAGGAGGAAGAAGTGTTAGTTACGTTTGTTGCATTGAGTTATGGAAAACATATAATAAAGGCAGGACAAAAATAAATACTAAATAAATAAGCAAATCCTCCACTCCAAGCTGTCTCCTTAGGAGGCCCTTTGGGCTCAACCCGCCGGCCGCCCAAGGCCAGGGGCCTGCCTGGCATCTGGCGATCTGCGGAGGGGCCCTTGGGGCAGAAAGGGGCCAAGCCCCCCCCCAGCCTTTCACCTGGGTCTCCCGGGTGGGGGTGTTTCCTGCCGAGTCGCCCCTCCCGCTGCACAAGGGAGGCTCCCATTGGGTGGTGCCCGTCGGAATGTGCCAGTAGTAGGTGCCGGACGTATCTTGAACCCGCATCCATCCTGCTGGGAGGTCAGAGTCTGTCTCCAGGGAGTTGCACAGCCAGAAGGAGTCTGCCAAAAGAAGGAGCGAGGTCAGCTGGGTTGGGGGTCCGGAGTGGGGGTCTGGCGGGAAGCAAGCACCCCTGGCCCTCTGCCACTCCTGCCACCCCAGGGGGGAGGGGGAGGGGGCGAAGGGTGGGGCGGGGGAGGCTGGCGGAGGAAAGGAACAGGGGAAAGCGATCGAGGGAGGGAGGGAATCTCTTGGCAGCTCAGCTCTGAAGCCCCCCTCAGCCCAGCCTGTGAAGAAACCCCCAAAAGAGGCTTTGGGCCTCCGGGAGCCCCCGTGAAGGAGGCCGGAAGATTCTGCGTTGACCCCGGGACCGACAGGAAGGAGCCTTCCTGGAATCGGGCCAGTTCTTGCTTCTTGCTTCTTGGCCCAGCTGTGCTGGCACACAGGCACCTCCTGGGGCGGATGTCTGCCTGCCCGCGCAACTGTGCCAAGCCAGGGTTTGCACAAGGCTCTCCTTGTGCTGGCACGGTCACAGCGTGCTCTGAGCGCCGCTGCCCCAGGCACTCCGGCCCTGGAGGGCTGGGCATCATGGACACAGTGCTCCTTGCCCCAACCCTCCCCTCCCAGCCTGACTGGACCCCAAACCGTCCGTCAGCCAGAGCAGCTGGGGAAGAACCAGGCAGGGGTCGCCCTCCAACTCCCCCTGCCAGCCCTGGTCCATCCCGGCAGGCACCAGAGGGACCCGTGGCTCTTGCCGGAAATCCCACCAGGTCTCCCCAGACTAAGCCCAGCCCTCCGTCCAGACCCCCAAAGGGGGCCTGAGAGCCTGCCAGTCTCCCCCGTCTCAGCCCCAGGGCTGCTACAAGCTGCCTCCTCTTCGGCAACTCTTGCCTGCAGTGGGGCAGGCAGATGAGACCCCCCCCCCAGCCTCCTTAGTCACACACCCCTCCCCTCCCCAGCAAAGGCAGCCTGGTGGCCCTGTTTCCCTAGGGGAGGGGCAAAACCAAGGCAGGAGGGGCTGGGTTGCAGTAGAGTCACAGGAAAGGGAAGGAGGGAGGGATTTTGCCCCCTAAGCACCCCCCTCCCTCAATTCTGTTGCTGATGAGACCTCCCCTCACAGCCCCCTCAGGCTCTCTGCCCCGGCACCAAAGATCAGAGAAAGAGAATTAAAACCACAGTCCTTCCATTAAGACGTCCTTAGTTTTGCCTTTCCCCCCCCCCCAGCCGCCCTGCTCCCTGCCCCTTTGCTGACCCCCTGCCTCCTTCCACTGGCTCCCCTGCTCCACCTAGCCCCCCTCACTACTCAGCGGCTTCTCCCACCCGCCACCCCCCCACCCGGAATAAGGCCGGCTGCAGCACAGCCAGCCATCCCTTGTCGGTGGCAACGGGCAGGAGCTGTTCTTGCAGCCTGACATAAATGTTTCACAGACCAAAACCGAAAATAATTTAAATAGCCCCCCCCAGTCTTTGCCCTCCCCCACCCCTTGTAGCCCCAGGGCCCACCAGCTTCTTGCCAGTCCACGTCGCTCAGCCCACTCCCCCTCCACCCCGAAAGCCCCCCTTCTTCTTCCCAGGCAACGTGCATCTCGCCAGGCAAGGAGCCGCAACCTGCCTCCCCCAGGGACACAAGAGGAACGGGGGGGGGGGCAATGGAAAGCCTCCTCTGCCCCTGGGAGGCTGCTGGAGACGGCCACAGCTGCAGGGGGCAGGACCAGAGGAGCATCCCAGGGCTGGTTGCTGGGCACTAGGCAGTCCCGGGGGGGGGGGGGCTGTGCCAGGCACCTGCTGACATCACTGCTCCCCCAGGGGCCTTCGGAGGCGCAGGAGCAGTGCTGCCAACCGACAAGGGGGGGCATCCTAGAAAGCAGCCCCATGCTGCCCAGCACACACCCTAACCCAGAACCTCTGCAGTTGCCCTCTTAAACCTTCCCAGTTTTAACATGCAGGGAAGAAGGGGCCAAGATAATCCTGCCCCCCCCCGTTGCATTCCCTCCTCGTGTGTGACTTGGCTCGCTTGTCCAACTCGCTCTGCCTGGCACAGGCACGTGGCAGTGTGCCTCTCTGCCTTTGGGCTCCCCTCCAGCAAGCCATTGATGGTCCCTCCTGCCCTCTGCCGTACCGCCCCCCCAAGTGACCCACCGGCTTCATCCGGGGAGCTGCCGGTCGGACTGCCCTGGCTGAGCGTGGCCCAGCTGGAGTCTTCGTCGCTGGCGGTGCTGTTGCGGGTGGCAAAGAGGAGGCTGGCGCTGCGGCCTTGCTCCCCCCGAGGCAGTGCCCGCTCCGAGCTCTGCTCCGACTCAGTCACAGGCTCACTCTGGACCGGGGTGGAGCCTTCCTCCTCCTCTTCCTCCTCCTCCTCTTCGTCTTCCTCCTCTTCCTGGTCCTCGGGGTCCTCCGCCCGGCCCTGGCCCTCCTGCCCCGTCAGTGGGACCAGCAGCGCGCTCAGCTCCTTGCTGGGAAGGCTCACTTCGTTGCGGTTCTGGTCGCGGCCACGCTCCGCCGCCTGCCGCAGCTGGTTCTGCCCCTCCTTCACCCACTTGCGGTTAGAGGGCTCCTCCACGGACGGCGGCAGCCCCAGGAGGCTCTGCAGCTCCCCGCAGCTGTAGGCGCAGCGCCCCTTGTGCGGCAGGACCGGCCCCCCCGGCGGGGCCACCAAGGCCAGGCTGAGGCCCAGGCAGCCGTTGTCGTTGGCCAGGCTGCTCCGCTTGCTCAGCGAGGTGGACATGATGCTGGGCACTGGGGAAGACTGGGGAGCGCCGGAGAGGGAGAGGAAGCGACCGGTTACAGCTCTGAGGGAGCAATCCCAACGCACGGACACCCCTCGCCTGAGCCCCCACCTCCATGCACCCCCCCACCACTCTCCTTGGAAGGGAACAGCCCCCCCCCAGGCCAGCAGGGCCCTGGTTAGGATTGGCTTTGATTGGTAAGCATAGCCTGCTGTGCCCAGAAACCAGCTAATTTGGTCACCCAATTAAACTCGTCTGGTGGACCCAGCCTGGCCTTTGGCTGTGGGAATGAAGGCCAGAGATGGATGTCGGGAGCAGGTCAAAGATCAGGGGCAGGAACAGTCCTGGGCCCCAGAAAACCTCCCTCCCTCCCTCCACCCCGTCCCCAGAGCTGGGTGGGCCAAAGCTCTGAACTGCTCTTTGCATGCCCCCACCACCCCAACCCCAAGTCAAGGGCCGACTCCTGCAAGACCCGCCAGGGGCTTACCGATCCTGGGCCGGAGGGAGAGAAGCGCAGCTACATGCCTCGGGGGAATCTTGGGGGGCCGTCCAAGGAAGGCTGGGCAGCATTCAGCTCCTGGGGGCAACGGGGAGAGGCAGGCAGGCAGGCCGTCAGTCCACCCCAGCAGCCCCAGGGCAGAGGGGCTCGGCTGGAGCAGGCCGGGTGCCTCCCGGTCTGGTCTCCCGAGTCTCCTCGGAGCAGTTAGAGGTCGCTTGGGCTGGGGGGGCTTGTTGGTTCCCCTCCCCTGGCATTTGGAGAGAAGCTCTTTGGGACCTTCAGCCGAGGGTGGATAGTGCTCCCTGGATGGACCCAGTCCCACTCGCGGCCATCCAGGTGAGGATGAGACCCATTTTGCCTCTTGCCGTGGCCCACTGGAGGCCGGGGGGGGGGCTTTCCAGTAGGGCGGGAAGGCTGCTCTGGCCTTGCCCTTCTCCCCCTCAGCTGGGACTGGGAGGCCTCCGCCCGGAAGCGGGGACCCTCCGAGCCTGGCTCCCCTCTCTGGCCCAGAGGCAGCAGGCAGGGGGCCTTGGAGCCGGACCCCCGCGGCCATCTCTGCCCCACGGGTGGAGCTGATCCCCTTCGGTTACTGGGGTGCCTCGGCTTCCTCCGGCTCCCTCACCGCCTTTCCCAGATGTGCCAACCAGGACCAGACTCAGTGACCCCGACTGGCCCCCCGAAGGCCCCGGAGCCGGCAGGCAGGCTGGCAGGCAGGCGGGGGCTGCCATTTCCTTGAATCCCGGGGCGGGGGGACTGCAGCCCCCTCCTCCAGGAAGAGCTCCGGCGTTCCTCTCTGAACTCTCGCCTGCCCAGCCGGAAGGAAGGGCGGCCCTGAGCCCGGCTCCTTCTCGCCATCGGGCCTGGGGGTCAGAGAGGCCGTCTGGGCAGGCCGGGGGCGCTCGCCGGTCCCANCTCCAGGCGCAGCACCGGCGGGTCCGGCTCGGCGGCCGCCCCGAAGGCTCAGCGGCAGCAGCAGCAGCCCTCGCCCGCCCGCCCGGCCGCCCGCGCTGGGTACCTGCAGCTGCAGCGACGCTTCCGTCAGGAGGGAGATGGCGGCGGGTGGGGGGGTCGGAGGGGGGGAGGCGTCGTTTCCGCTTCCGAGACCGACGAGCCCCTCCCGGGAGGGGGTCGAGGGGCTGGCCGGGCGAGGGAGCGCCGCTGCCCCCCAGCACCTTCCGCCGCCCCTCGGCCGTCCCCGCAGAGCCCCCCTGCGCCCAGGGGCGGGCGGAGAGCGGGCGGCGGTCCGGGCGCCAACTGCGGACCGGGACCAGGCATCGCGCGGGCGCCCGAAGGCCCGTCCTCCAGCCCAGCCCAGGACGGGCGTGGACGCCGCTTCGGTCTCGGGCCGAAGAGAGCGCCTGCTGCGACCCGGGCCCGGAGGAGCCTCCCCGGACCCCCGCCTGGAGGCCAACGCGTTGAGGGGGCGCCTCCTTTTTGTGCCCGCATAAACAAACCTCAACCCGGCTCCTCGTCGCCCTGGTTCCCCCGGCTGCCAGTTCTCCCCTGGGTCCGGTTCTCCGCAGGGCAGGCGGGGAATCCCGAAAAGGCAGCCAGCCAGCCTGCGGTTCGGAGGGCCCGGACGCTCAGGCAGCCGGCGGGGCGCCGGTTTGGAGGGGTGCGCCCTGGATACCAAACTGGGGCCGCACGAAAGAAAATGCTGGACAGGGGAGCAGTGGGGAGGGGAGGGAACGTTCTGGGCTTAGAATCATAGAGGTCTTCTAGTCCAACCCCCTTTCCAAGCAGGAGTCCTTATACCGGTAGCATCCTGGTCAAATGAATATTGAATCTTAAAAACC